ATAGAATTAAAGAAACAAAAATCTATGAGCAGTGTTGAAAATTAAACAATTGATACAATAGTTAGCAAAAAAGTATAAGATATAGAAGATTTGAACACTATTGCCTACCTTGATCTAACATATTTTTTTGGAACATTATGTACTATCATTGTAACAGAATGCACATTATTTTCAAAGGTACATGGTACATTCACTTAGATAAACTGCATGCTGGGAGATATAATGCATTTTAATACATTTAAGATATTTGAATTCTCAAGGAAAGTGTTCCCTGACTACAATAAAATTAGAAATCAATAAGAATTAGATATAAAGGAAAACCTCAAATATTTAGAAATTTTAAAATACTCTTCTAAATAATCCATGGGTAAAAGAAAATCATGAGAAAAATTAGAAAATATTTCAAATGAAAGATTATGATAATACTAGTGGCCTGGTGCATGAAATTTGTACATGGGGGGGGGGTCCCTCAATCCAGCCTGGCCCCTCTCACAGTCTGGGAGCCCTCAGGGGCTGTCCTGACAGCTTAGGGGAGAAGGGAGTGGGTCTAAACTGCAGTTTGACTTCCCTCTGTGGGAGGTGACCAGCGGGCTGATCGAGATGGCATGGGTAGCTAGTGGCTGGTCCCACCCCCAGTTGCTTCATGGCCACTGGTGGCCTCCCTCTGCAGAAGGAAACCCCAGCAGACCTATCTGGGGATGGTGCTGGAGGCCCTGCCCAAGTCACCCCACTGTTGTTGCCGCCTGTGGCCTGCCTCTGTGGGAGGCAACCAGGTGGGTGATCAGGGGATGGCATCAGCCCCCATCACCTCACCACTGCGAGTTTCCACTGTCCCCTTCCCCTGCATTGCCATCCCTTCTCTCTGCCCACTGGCATGTGCCTTGGCTGGCTGGGCGACATCTGCTCACTGGCTCTACCCCCCCACTGACTGGTTGTTCTGCCATTCGGTGGATTTGCATATTACACTTTTATTATATGGGATTACTTTACTTGGAGGGATATTTATTCACCAAAATGAGCTCTAGAAGGAGTGTTTTTCAAGATGTGCTCCTACATTTTAATAGGCAACCCAGATGAATGTTATGCATTGTATTATTTGAGGGGATCTCTTTTGAAGTGTGACACTTCAGTAAAGAGACATTGGCTCATTAAAATTATGCCTCTGGCATGACCACATTCAGTGTCTGATCTTTATTTTTAAAAATTGAGCACTCAGTAGCTCTTTATCAATATATATATATATATATATAGGCTCATAATGTTTTCACATCTTGAAAGTCCCCATACTCACAGAACATTGAATGACTTCGATAAGTATTTTTAAGGGATCATGCTGGAAAGCTAATTTAGGTGTTAGTAATGTGTAGTAGATAGATAATATCCTAGATTAAGAGAAAATATGGCACATTAGCCTTACATGGTGGTGACTGAAGGCAGAAAAACAAATGTTGCAGCAAAGAAAGAGCACTAAGTCTGTTTTCTATCCCAATTGTTTGGCTGTTGCTGAACCAAGCAAGCTCCCTTACACTGTTTTTTCCTCGATACCTTCTCTCAATTATTAGAATCATCCATTCAATGAAGTTGCCCAAACTGGAAAACCCGTGCTAATACCATTTGCTTTTTTGCTTTCATCCCTGTGTAATCAGCCAAATAGTTCCGTCAGGTTTCCTCATAAATATGTCTCTGATCCACTGCCTCTGTCTAGTCCTCGTTCCCAACATCAGTCTCTTTTTTCCTTGGGCTCCAAAATACTGCAGTTTCTAAATTATCCTTCCCACAGCCACCAGAATGGTTCACTTAAAATGAAAGCAAGACCAGGATGCTCCCATGCTTGACATTCTTCACTTTTCCTCCTTCTGTGGCATAAAATCTAAGCTCCCTGCTATGGTTTTTAGTGGTCTGTCCTCTGCCTACTTCTCAGTCCACCGAGGACCCAGGCCTGACTGCCACCACGAGTGGCTGGGACCCAGGCCTGACTGCAGCACTGAGTACCATGGACCCAGGCCTGCCTGCTGTCATGGGCAGCCAGGACCCGGGCCTGGCTTCCACCCCAGGCCCTCTGCCTGTGTTTGCTTTGGTGCTGCCTGAGCCAGCTCGGTGATGTGGCATCTTGGGCAGGCCCCCCTGTCTCTGTCTTGTCTCCGCTCCAGGCCTCACCTGTGTGGGCAGCCTCCTCTTGACAGGTTGAGACTGTTATGGTGTCCTGGTCTAATTTGCATATTATATCTTTATATTATATAGGTAATATTTCAAACTTTGTGAGTTTAAGCTAAAGCAAAGCCCTATATTTTTAAGTGTTGGTATTAGAAAAGGCAAAGGGTCTAAAAAGGATCCATCTTAAGGTATAAAAAGAAAAGTAAAGAAAATCCAAGGTTAAATAGAAAGGGGGAAGGGAAGCAGGTGAGGAGAGAGAATGAATACATTTTACCAACATCATGAATGAAGGATTATCACTATAGATTCTCTAAACATTGTAATATGAAAAGACTGAGTTTATCCCAATAAATTCAATAACTTTGAAATTATAAATTCTTAAACATAATTTACCAAAATCAATACTAAATGAAGCAGAAAATATGAATAGTAATATATATTATAGAGATTGAATTTACCAAAGATAAAACACCAAGCTGACATGTTAAATATTTAAAGAAGTAATATCAATCTTAAATAAATTCTTAGGACAAAATGGAGGACAAATAAGAGGGTACAGTTTTCTATTTCATGAGGCCAGTGTTACTCTAATCCTGATAAAGACATTATTAAGAAATTACAGCAAGAATCCCTGGTGAACTGAGACATAAAAATTCTTAACATAATTAAAAAAAAGACATTTTTATTGATTTCAGAGAGGAAGGGAGAGGGAGAGAGAGATAGAATCATCAACGATGAGAGGGAATCATTGATTGGCTACCTCCTGCATGTCCCCTACTGGGCATGTGCCCTTGACCATAATCAAACCCAGGACCCTTCAATAAGTAAGCATTCACTTATATTGCATGTTTAGAATTTTTTCATGTTTTACCTACATACTACTAAAATGGGTAGCAAAAACTTTGTTCCATGTTTTAGATCCTTATAAGTGAAACTACCATATTAAAAATGTGTGAAAATTTTCAAAGCCCTTCATATACATTGTTAAATTGTGGGTATTTCCATCCCTCTCTTCCTAGAATAGTTCCCGAGTCACCACCACAGAAACCTCAGAGCTCCTCAAAGCCACTGATCTATAATATTTTAGTTATTCATTGGTTCTATATCATTAGCTATATATTACTGGCTATTGCCATTCTGAGACTGAGAGAGATTGAGTTATTGATGGCCTCCGCTAATAATTAGCAGAGCTACCACTTGACATTACATGTATCAAGGCAGTATTAACCACAAAACAGGTTTATTAACAAAACAGGTTTATTAAATGAACACATGGAAAAATGAAGGTATCAAAGGCTTAGATCTATTTAGATTTATATTTCCTATGTATTTCCCTTAGGAACTATGAAACATTTAAGATTAGTTTTTTTCTGGTACTAGCCTGAATGTTCTTATTTATGTATTGGTTTATTTATTCTGTCCATTCCTATCACTTCTGATTTTCTTTTGGCTCAGAGCACCAAGTTACATGTAAAGCCTATTCTTACAAGATGTTAATTGATCTATTATTGGAAATGTGGCACAAATCACAGTGACATGAATATTCTGATTATTCTTTGCCTTCTAGGCTTTTAGTGTGAATTTCAAAAGGATTTACTTTATATAATGTGTGATTCTCTTCTGAGGGAAGAGTTGCCTGAGGATTTCCATAGGGTGTTGGATATATACGGTGGTTCCACATCCATGGGGGATACGGTCCAAGACTTCCAATGGATGCCTGAAACCACAAATAGTACAAACCCAATATCTACTATGTTTTCTCTATACATACATATGATAAAGTTTAATTTTTAAATTAGGCACAGTAAAAGATTAACAACAATAATTAATAAAATAGAAAAATTATAACAATATAATAATAAAAGAGTAATATGCTAATTAGACCGGATGACCTTCTGAATGAAGCTCGAGGAAATCCCGAGTCCTGGGTGCCTGCTGGCCACCGGAGGGAAGCCCAGGTCCTGGGTGCCAGCAGCTGGGGAAGAATGACCTATTCTTATTTTTTTTAAAATATATTTTATTGAGTTTTTACAGAGAGGAAGAGAGAGGGATAGAAAGCTAGAAACATCGATGAGAGAGAAACATTGATAGCTGCCTCCTGCACATCCCCTACTGGGAATGTGCCTGCAACCAAGGTACATGCCCTTGACTGGAATCGAACCCGGGACCTTTCAGTCCACAGGCCAATGCTCTATCCACTGAGTCAAACCGGTTTCGACAAGGATGACCTATTCTTGCATGAATTTCATACATTGGGCCTCTAGTACTATAATAATAAATTATGTGAATATGGTGTCTCTCACGCCCACCCCTTGTCATAGCCAAACAGGGACAACCAACAGAGTGGTTTAGTAATTAATGGACAGGTAGCATGTGCATCATGATACATGTGGCAAAGGAATGATTCAGGATATTCCAGATGGGGCCAGAGTGGATGGTGTGATATATTATCATCCTACTCATAACAGTGCACAAATTAAAACTTATGAATTGATTAATTCTGAAATCTTCAACTTAATATTTTTGGATCATTGTTGACTGCAGGTAATTGAAACTGTAGAAAGTGAAACTACAGATGAGGTGTGACTGCTTACTTTCCTGGTGTCTAGAAATCCTGCACACTGCAATGGGCCTGGGGCAAGGAGTTGGTTTGCCATCAACACAGACATTGTACTTTGCAGCAATATTAGTAGGTGCCCTGGGTTGCTTTGATTCCAGGGGTTATGAAGCTGCTGGCTTGTGGAACATGGCCTGAGATTAAATAGGGAGGGAACAGTTCCTTTACAAACAAACCCAGGAAGAAAATGAGACTAATTGTTCCTTATTTGTTACCATTTCCTGCTTAGAGAGCGAATCAAGCATTGCTGTGAGCAGCTGCGTACTTTGGTGCCGAGTATAGAGGGGAGAAAGAATGATGCGGCTTCAATTCTCGAGGCCACAGTTGATTATGTGAAATATATCCTAAAGAAAATCCCTCCAGCTGCTATGGGCCAGGTATTCAACTCCCAAGTCTTTGAATGTTATCCTTATAGACAATGCTTTAATGCTATACTTTTATTTTTCCTATTTTTTATCATTGGAAATGTATGTGTGTTGCGGGAATGTGCAACACACATTCAACCATATATATGAAAAAATATCTCTAAATAGATTTCTACTTCTATATTTTAGATTACAGAAGTACTTCAGAGCAATAGGAGATTTTGTAAGAAACAACAAATGTTCATCCAGCCATCCTTCCCAGGCACAATCACGGCACAAAGGTATGATAAGGGCCCTTGTTAATTTTCTTCTGATGGTAATTCTAGAAGTGTAGACAGGTACTGAATCCATCATAGTGAACAATCAGGCCTTTATTAAGAATCAGTGAACTTTTCCTATTGCTGATGTGTATCATTTAATTACAGTGATAAGATATATAATATTCTCATATTCAAGATTTTATCATTTGCCTCAATCTCCTATTATTATTTCTGAGGATTTTAAAATGGAGCTTTACCAGTAGTGATGGTTGTGACTGTGGCAATCTAGTAGGGATACGATAGATTCTAGCATTCATTCCTTTGTAATAGGAAGTCATGGAGCAGTTCAGCCCTATTTCAGCTGGGACTCCTTAAAGAAATTGCTAGTACACAATGTAACCTGCCAGATGGATGCTTGCTATTTAAATTAATTAGGATAGGTAAATAAAGAAAAACTATAGCAGAAAAGCAGGTCATTCTTTCACATCCTGAAGAATCATCCTGAGTCCTTTTCAACAATTTGTTCTTATATTTAAATAATCTATAGTTTAAACTCTGGCTATGGTTTTTATAACTTGAACTAGAGGCCTGGTGCACAAAATTTGTGCACAGGAGAAGGGTCCCCTCAGCTCAGCCTGCATCCTCTCCAATCTGGGACCCCCCAGGACTGGGCCTAAACAGGCAGTTGGACACCCCCCTCTAAATCCTAGACCGATGGCTCCTAACTGCTCACCTGTCTGCCTGCCTAATTGCTCCTAACTGCCCCCCTGCCAGCCTAGTCACCCCTGCAGCTTGTTCAGTCGTTCATACAGTTGTTTTGGTTGCAGTGGTCATTTAGGCTTTTGTATACACTGAGTGGCCAGATTATTATGATCTCTGAATGCATAATAATCTGGCCACTCAGTGTATATCCTATATAATAAAAGACTAATATGCAAATTGTTTCCTTGACCAAGAGACAAGCCAGCCAACCATCCATATCCCCTTCCCCCTGGCCAGGCTAGCAGGACCCTACCCATGCATGAATTCATGCACCGGGCCTCTAATATATATAATTAGACACACACACACACACACACACACACACACACACACACACACACACACTCTGAGTGGCCAGATTACTATGCGTTCAGAGATCATAATAATCTGGCCACTCAGTGTATATAGATGATAGAAAACAATTAAACTCAGCAATGTTCTTATTATCTTCCTTGGGAAATGCGTAAAAATTTTTTTTCTATCTCCTTTTAAGGGAAAACAGTGTATTGGCAAGCAAACATTCACCTATGAGAGGAATCAGTTTCCTGACTAATAAGTGCTTGAATGTGTACTCTGTTCCTGCCTCAGGGGGCTCCTTGGATGGCACTGTGAGAGGTCAGCTTCACTTGACCCCAGATCATTGTAATATGCTTGAGCCTACTTGTATGTCCCATGCACTTCTCAGCTCTAATGCAGTCATTGCTATAACCAGGGAATGGAGTGAGGCTGGAAGATTCCACCAGGAGTCATTCTGTTATCTGCTTAAAGTATATAAACTGGCCACAAGCCCCTAAATAATGTTATCCAAAAATGGGGCTCGAAAATGACCATTATTATCAGAAAACTCATCTTACTGATATGTAATAAAACACACTGGTGACTTTATTATGTGAGTAGAATTTAAAGAAAAGGGAATTATTAATATTAATTCCATACTAGATACTAAGCATTTAACACATTAATTTATTTACTTTCTTCATGTATTAGTCACCTTCTCAGGGAGTACAACTAAAACTGGATGCTCCTTCACAGCATCACATCTAGTGTAGGGTTCTTTCTTCACCATATTTTCCTACTCAGCACTTAACATCTTTAGTATTCTTTACTTGCATACTTTGTTTAGTGCCACTAGAATATCAACTCCATGAAGATAGGGAATTTTTTTGCCTGTTTTGTTCATTGCTGTATTTTTAAAAAAATATATATTTTATTGATTTTTCACAGAGAGGAAGAGAGAAGGATAGAGAGTTAGAAACATCGATCAGTTGCCTCTTGCATACCCCCTACTGGGGATGTGCCCGCAACCATGGTACATGCCCTTGACCGGAATCGAACCCAGGACCTTTCAGTCCGCAGGCCGACACTCTATCCACTAAGCCAAACTGGTCCCGGCTCATTGCTGTATTTCTAATACCTAGAGCAATGAGCGACTGATATTAGGTGCTCAAGAAACATATATCAGCCGAAACCGGTTTGGCTCAGTGGTAGAGTGTTGGTCTGTGGACTGAAAGGTCCCGGGTTCGATTCCGGTCAAGGGCATGTACCTTTGTTGTGGGCACATACCCAATAGGGGGTGTGCAAGAGGCAGCTGATTGATGATTCTCTCTCATCGATGTTTCTAACTCTCTATCCCTCTCTCTTCCTCTCTGTAAAAAAATCAATAAAATAAAATAAAAAAGAAACATATATCATATGCATACTCACTGTGAAACAAACATTTACTTACCATGAGGCATTTTTGTTGTGTTATATAGTCTAGGCATGCTCATGGACTTATTTATAGAAATAAGAAGATTGGGGGAAAAACACAGCTCCAGCTTGTGACTTAGTATTTCTGCAGGTTACTCTTCATTGAGAAACCAGTCCTCACTGTTGAGCTTCTAATCTGCCTATCAGATGCTGGATGACAGACACCCCTACCGATCTCTTTGATGTCCTAATCTGAGGTCACCCTTCTGCTGACTTCCTCAAAGGGATTTTGCTCTCTCACTTCATAGCCTTCTCTATTCTGGGAGTGGCCTTTCCCATACTTTACCTAGTTAACTCCCAGTTCATTCCTTAGTTCTAGTTCAAATGTCCCTGCTTCACAGATGGGGACACAAGAATGAACAAGATGCAGTTCTTTTTCTTATGGAGCTCACAATAGCAAAACGTAATTCCTCTAGTAACTGAAGTGCTATCACAGGGATACTGTGCATATGGTGGGGATATAGTGGAAGTCATGGGAACCAACAAGATTACTAGGAGTGGCATCTAAAGTCCAAAGAGAAAGGGGGCCAAAAATAGAAGATAGCCCTCTTTGTTCATATAATCAAGTCAGACTCAGAGAAGTCAATTTAGACTTTTCTCCTAACTTAGGGAGAGTGGAGGTGAATAGAAAAAGAGTAGCCAGGACCCGTGGGTAATCTACTGAAAGTAGCTGTCTGAATGTCACACTGAATGATGACTTCAGCCTGGATTAAATCATATAGCGGTCAAGCCACAGGCATATGCCTATCAATGTGATTTCTTATACATCCATTACTTATGCATTTTCACTATATTCTGCAGAAACTCTGAAATAATTTTTCTGAGGTAATGAATTTAGGCTTTTATGTGCCCCAGTATCTCTTGATATTGCTTCATCTTGACCAGTTGCTCTTGGGACAACACAGATACACTTGGACCATAGGCTGTGGCATATTTAAAATGGAGGAAAGCTTGAAGGTCATTGAGTCTAAACCCTTATTTTAATTTTATTTATAAACACTTTTTTTTATTTGAAAAGCAAATTAGTCCTTTACTAGCCCAACAAAGATGATAACTATTTTTTAAATATTTTCTTCAAGTCTTTTTAATGTATTTTTTTTTACATTAGCAGTCATATTGGATGTTTAATTTTGTCTCCTGATTTTGCTACTTAACATCATATATAGTTTAATTCTTTACTATGCAGTCCTCATCATCATTTTAACTGTTTTACTAGTTTATCAAATGATCCTACCTAATAAAGAGGGAATATGCTATTTCCTCCACATCCTCCACATCCTCACAAAGATGGTAGCACCCAGCCCCCTCAGCCCTGCCTCATCTAGCCTGTCTCCCAGTCCCTTCAGCACCACCTATTCCAGCCTCAGTCCCCCAGTTCCCTCAGCCCCACCTCATCCAGCCTCAGTCCCCCATTCCCCTCAGCCCCATCCCATCCAGCCAGAATTCCCCATTCCCCTCAGGTTCCCTACAGCCCTGCCTCATCCAGCCTCAGTCCCCTAGTTCCCTCAGCCCCACTGGGGTGTGGCAGGCACTGTGTGCCTCATCTAGCCAGAGTCTCCCAGTCCCTTCAGTCCCACAGGGGAAAGCAGTTAGGTATGATCATGTCAGCAGGGCAGTAGTTAGTTGTCAATCAGGCTGGCAGGGGAGTGGTTAGAAGGCTATCAGGCTGGCAGGCACAGTAGTTAGGGGCAATCAGGCTGGCTAGTGGTTAGGGAGCCAGCAGTCCCGGATTGTGAGGGGTCCCAGATTGGAGAGGGTACAGGCTGGGCTGAGGGACATTCCCCCCCCCACCCCCCTGTCCATGAATTTTATGCACCGGGCCTCTAATTTATAAGATAATTTTCTTAGCCATTCTTTAATTGCTATATTTAGTGTTTCCAGTTTTATATTGATATATATGTAATATAACAATATATTATAAGTTGTATATAATTAACTAGTGGCCCAGTGCATGAAATTAATGTACATTAAAAGGGAATTAATTAGTAGAAATATTTTAATATTGCTATTTGTCCTTTCTCTATAATAGAAGTGTCAGAGATGAAAGAGAATTAGTAAAATGTATATGAAAATTTTCCTCTGTCAAAGTCTGGGGCATGCCTTGAGACCCAGAGTCAAGTCCCGCCCACCCATGGTGCCTCAAAATCACACGAGATCCAGACCCAGGAGGCCCCACTTCCATTGTGTGAGATCCAGACTCAGCTGGCTCCACCTTTGACAAGCCCTGCCAGGGAGGGGGCATAGCCTCAGGTCCCCTGGCCTGGCGCTGGGTGGGAGATACAGCCTCAGGTCCCCCAGGTGGGGGCAGAGCATAAAGGCCCCCGTCAAGCCCTGCCAGGTGAGAGGTGCAGCCTCAGATCTCCCAGCCTGGCACTATGGTGGGTGGTGCAGCCTGAGGTCCCCTGTCAAGCCCTGCTGAGCAAGGATGTGGTTCCCCAGCCCAGTACCAGTGTGGGGGCGGGGGGGGGAGGGCCAGGGTGTGCCCTCAGGTCCCCTGACCTGGTGCTGGGGTGGAGGGTGCAGCCTGAGGTCCCCTGCTTTAGTCCAGCACCATGTAGCTGCAGGTCCCTGCTGTTTGCTTGTTAAGGCTTGTTACGGGAACTCAGCCTCCGCTGTGGATGCAGCCATCTTGTGGTATAGAAACCCCACCTCTACTGTGGGTGCAGCCATCTTTGTGATGATGTGATGGTCAATTTGCATATTCCCTCTTTATTAGATAGGATAAGAGGTAGTATGTCCCCACATATGATGTTTCCCTGTCTTGGTCTTTACCTTGGGCTGGATTCCCAAAGTCTGTAAGGAATGTTTGAGAATGTGAGCACATGTATAGCAAGGACTGCATGAGCCAAATTGTTTTTGAGAGAGGATTAGAACAGTTGAAATCACTGAAACTCTTCAGAATTCACTTTCATCACCTATTTCAGTAAATTAAAGGCTGGAGAAGTTAAACAAGTACTTGTTGTCACCAGGTTTATGTGCTAAAGTCTGTCCTGTGACACAGAAGCACTGACCTGGTTCAGTGTTTAGACTTCTTTAGGTTGCCTTTACATCAGTCAGTGTATCCATTTGCTGAAATGCAAATATTCATAAATATTTCAGATACATTTGTATTTAAAGTAGATATAAAATCACTTTTACTATTATTACTGTCCAGAAGAACATAAAAAGTTATTCTCAGAGGGACTTGAGATTACATTGTTAACATTCATTATATATATTTTAAATATTTTCCTGCCTTCTAGATACTGTACAGAGTATAGATATATAATGATATAACCCACTTCACTGAAAGAAAATTTTATTTATAGCTGAATGGAGTTCTTTCCAACATTCTTCCTTGATTCATAGAGATTGTCAACATTTTGATTATGATGGAAACAACACACAAACACAAAAATGCATACACAAAAACACACCCAAAAGCATAGAGATCTGATACTTCTCTAAAATGTTTTTTAATGAAATATGAACACTAGTTTATAGTATATTTATTGCATTAAACATTGCTACAAAAATATTCACTTTGTTTTTTCAACAGAATTTAAGTGTAGCAGTAGATAAGTTGGAAGTGTGAGGAAATTATATAGAGGACAATTTGTTTCAAATACAGTAGTTCAGAATTACAGAGTTGTGTATACTGATAATTATTTGTTTTCCTTTTTGTTAAAGGTCAATCTAGCTCCACTTCAGAGAATGCTATTGGTGATGTCTATAAAACTCAAGTCCCCAGAAGCACAGCTCTCTCTCTTAATTCCTTCCAAGCTGTCAAATACTATTCTACAGTCATCCCTTCCTATGATTTAGTTGCTGTAACAAATCAGAACATTTCAGTTCATTTTCCATCAGCTGTACCCAAAGTCTCAAAATTTCTTCCTCAGCAATGCAATTCTGTGATGGGACAGACATGCACAACACATTCCAATTGCCTGGTAAGTCTTCTGGGGTCTTGTAAAAGATTGGACTCTGTCATTCCAGCCAGCAAAGGCCTTGATTTGAGATCTGCTGTGAATACTCTGGTCAGAAATCACTTAGACTTTGGATCAGGTGTAGTTAATAGGAAGTGCAGAAGTGTGAGGAGACTGGCCAGGCTCCCAAAGACAGCAGCTCCCACAGACAGCAGCTGAAGTTCTAGAGTGATATCGTCCCTGAGCAGGGGAAGTTCCAACTAAGAATTCTGGGCCCCTCATCCCAGAGCGCCAGAACTGAGAAAGGTGCCCAAGGAATATCAGGTTGTGAAAAACAGTAGGATTTCTGTCTGCAAGGGAGAGATGGCTGGAAATGAAGGTACCCTCTTAAAGGGCCAATACAGTCATTCACCATGGGCTCTGGCAGAGGGAAAGCAGAGTGGACTATAGCTGTGTGAGAAGAATCTAGGCTTGGGGGATTTGGTGATAGTGTTCAGAGAACAGCTGCCTGGACCCCTGTGCTGAGTCATTCCCCCATACTGCGGAGGATGTCTTTCTAAGACAGGTCTGAGTTGTGGGAAGCCTGTAGGGAAAATCTCTCACCCCACAACATGGAGTTTACACCTTGTTGTGGTCTATAGCCTGAGACACATTAAGAGACTGGAAGTAGCAATTGTCATGTAGGCAGAGGTAGATCTCTAGGTACTTTGAGTTTGCCTGATCTGCTTCTGAACCCAGGGCTAGGAAAATCAGACCTTGGTGTGCACCTTTGTCCTTTCCAAATGCACCCAGCCACAATAGAGGGAGCCACAAACTATTGAATGTTGATACCTCCAATCAGGGTACTCAGGGCTAGTCACAAAAAGTGTCTGACACTGTCCTGCACCAGAGATGCTCCAAAAATACTAGAAGTCATAGCAGATCTACCTAATACATAGACATAAAACCAAATAGGAAGGGGAAAAACAAGCCCCAAATGAAAGAATAAGAAAATTCTCTAGAAGAAGAACTAAATGAAACGGATATAAGGAATTTATCAGATATAGAATTCAGAATAATGATGGCAAGGATGCTCAATAGCATGAAGAAATATAGAGAAACTATGAAAAATTACCAGAAGGAAAGGAAAAATGATATAGAACAAATAAATAATATATCAGAGGAAATAAGCAGCAGATTAGGGTATTGGATCAGTGAACTAGAAGATGGAGAAGAAGAAAAAATCCTTCAAATAGAGAACAACAAAAACAAAAGAGCAGAGGACATATTCAGAAAGCTGTGGGAAAATATGAAACATAACAATATCTGCATCATAGGCATACCAGGAGATGAGAAAATTGAGCAAGGGATAGAGAACTGGTTTTAAGAAATAATGGCAGAAAACATCCACAAACTAGTGAAGGAAAAAGTCACACAAGTTCAGGAAGCATAGAGAACCCCAAGCAAGAAAAACCCAAATAGGCCAAAACCGGTTTGGCTCAGTGGTGGAGCGTCGGTCTGTGGACTGAAAGGTCCCAGGTTCGATTCTGGTCAGGGGCATGTACGTTGGTTGCGGGCACATCCCCGGTAGGGGGTGTGCAAGAGGCAGCAGGCCGATGTTTCTCTCTCATCGACATTTCTAGCTCTCTATCCCTCTCCCTTCCTCTCTGTAAAAAATCAATAAAATATATTAAAAAAGAAAAGAAAAGAAAAACCCAAATAGGCCCACATACAGACACCTCAAATTAAAATGCCAAAATTTAAAGACAGAATCTTAAAGGTAGCAAGGGAAAAGTAATTTATTACTTACAAAGGAGCTTCCATAAGGCTGTCAGCTGATTTCTCATAAGAAACTCTATAGGACAGAAGGGAATGGCATTAAGTATTCAAGGTAATGAAAAGCAAGGATCTGAAAACAAGATTAATATAATTAGCAAGGCTATCATTGAAAATAGACCGTGAAATAGAGCTTTCCAGAGAAAAAAACTAAAAGTGTATGACTACCAAACAAGCACTATAAGAAATGATTAGCCGAAACCAGTTTGGCTCAGTCGTAGAGCGTCGGTCTGCAGACTAAAAGGTCCCAGGTTAGATTCCGGTCAAGGGCATGTACATTGGTTGCGGGCATATCCCCGGTAGGGGATGTGCAGGAGGCGGCTGGTCGATGTTTCTCTCTCATCAACGTTTCTAGCTCTCTATCTCTCTTTCTTCCTCCTCTCTGTAAAATATCAATAAAATATATATTTTAAAAAATGGTTAAAGGCACTGCTATAAGGAGAATAAATAGAGAAATGTAAGCATACAAAATAAAAATGTTAATAAATAAGTACCTATCAATAATAACCTTAAATGTAAGTGGATTAAATGCTCTAATCAAAATACATAGGATAGCTGAATTGATTAAAAACAAACAAAAAAAAACAAGACTCAACTGTATGCTGTCTACAAGAGACCACCTCAAAACAAGAGGCTCACACAGAATAAAAATAAAGGGATGGAAAACATTTCCATGCAAAGAGAAACAAAAAAGTTAGGGTAGCAATACTCATAACTGACAAAATAGACTTAAAATTAAGGCCATCATAAGAGACAAGAAAGATCACTAGATAATACTAAAGGGATCAATCCAACAAGAGAATATAAATCTAGTAATCATATATGCACCCAATTTAGGAGCACCTAAATATATCAAAAACACTTCTAGAGAAATTTAAGCGAGAGATTAACAGCAATATACTGTATTTCCCCGAAAATAAAACATCCTCCAAAAATAAGAACTACTTACAGGCTTCCTTCTGAGTGAAATATAAGGCATCCCCCCAAAAATAAGGTCCCCCCAGGCTCTGTCTCAGAAGGAAAATTAATTTACCATAAACTGGTCGCTAGGGCTGCCCCGAATGGCATCTAGCAACCAGTGACGATATGCGGAGTCAAGACGTCACTGCTGTGTGGAGGCGGAGTGGAGGTCAGAGTGAGCGGTGAGCGCAGGGCGGGAAAGAGGAGGAGACTTTCACAGATGCATGTAGAAGAACAGGAGGATTAGAGCAGATGGGAAGAGGCGAAGGTGGTGAGTGCTGGTCTGTCTCTGGACCACACAAGCAATTATAAGGAAGTGGATCGATTTAATGCTGCTGCTTGTTATACGAGGGAGCCAAAGAGGTCTGCTAGTCTGGGATGCAGCCAGCACTCACCGCGCTAAAGACATGAAAACATTTCTTCACGAAAGAAAAATAGATCAGATAATGATTCCTGCAGGAATGACGGCCTATCTTCAGACTCTTGATATTGCAATAAAAAAGCCATTCAAAGACAATTTGCACATAGAAATTAATGACTACACTGAAAATAGAATGGAGAGAAATCAGCGTGGAAACTTTGTGGAACCTAAACTGCAAGAAGTTGTGACTTGGGTGAAGAATTTATGGGAGAAAAATCACTGACAGTTGCATTGCAAATGCACTGTGAGCAGGCTGCCTTGACAAGAAGTACTCATTTAAAGACAGTGCTATTGCTAAACATGAGAGATTTGGTCCACTGATTCTGAAAGAAATGGAGTCACAGAAATTCACCAGGAAATTCAGGAATTGGATTGTTGTGATGATGTTCCAGAAGATGATGACATGATTGTCATTGAATAAATGAGTAAATTCTTGATACTGTAAGATTCACAGTTTGTCTGATTGTGTTGACAACTACTGTACTACCGTACCATATACAGGTAATAAATTTCCTTTATTTTCATTTAACAATAAATGTGTACCGTATTCTTCTTCATGGAAAAATAAGACATCCCCTGAAAATAAGACCTAGTGCATCTTTGGGAGCAAAAATTAATATAATTTTTATATTTGGGGAAACAGGGTAGTAATAATACAGGACTTTAACACCCTTCTGACGTCACTGGATACATCTTCCAGAAAAAAAAATTAATAAAAAAACAGCGACTCTATGGAACACACTGGACCAGATGGATTTAAGTGACATTTATAGAGCATTCCATTCCAAAGCTGCAGAATATACATTCTTCTAAAGTGCACATGGGTCATCCACAAAGATAAACCATATGTTAGGAGACAAAACAAGCATCTACAAGTTCAAGAAGATTGCAATCATATCAAACATCTTCTCAGATCACAGTGAAATGAAATTAGAAATCAACTATAGTAAAAACAAGCAAAACATTCAAACACATGGAAGCTAAATAGCATGTTATTAAACAGCTAGAGACCTGGTGCACAAAATTTGTGCATTGGGGCTGGGGGTGTCCCTCAGCCCAGCCTTCACCCTTTCCTATTTGTAACCCCTTGAGGGATGTCCATCTGCCCATTTAGGCCCCATCCCAGTGGGACCTATTTTCACAATCCAGGACTGCTGGGTCCCAACTGCTCGCCTACCTGATTGCCCCTAACTGCTTTTGACTGCCAGACTGATCACCCCTAACCACTCCCCTGCCAGCCTGATCAATGCCTAACTGCTCCCCTGCCAGCCTAATTGCCCCTAACTGCCCTCTCCTGCCAACCTGGTCACCCCTAACTGCTCTCCCCTGCTGGCCATTTTGTGGCGGCCATCTTTGACCACATGGGGGCAGCCATCTTGTTTGTTGGAGTGACAGTCAATTTGCATATTAGGCTTTTATTATATAGGATGAATGGGTTACTAGTGAAGTCAAGAAAGGAATTAAAAACTTCCTGGAAACAAATGAGAATGAACACACAACAATCCCATATCTCTGGGACACAGCAAAAGCAGCCCTGAGGGGCAAGTTCATAGTACTATAGGCGTACTTCAAAACAAACAAACAAGCAAAAACAACAATAATAAGAAAAAATAATAGTAAACTATTTAACTGTACAACTTAAAAAATTATAAAGAGTACAACAAGAAAAACTCAGAATAAGTATAAGGAAGGAAATAATAATGGTTAGAAGAGAAATAAATGATATACAGACTGAAAAATAAAAAAAAATCAATGAAAAGAGCTGGTTCTTTGAAAAAAATAGACAACATTGATGAACCATTAGTTAGATTCATCAGTATCAAAGAGAGAGAACCCAAATAAATAAAAACAGAAATGAAAGCAGTGAAGGAACAACTGAGTGCACAGAATACAAAGTATTGTAAGAAAATAATATGAGCTGCTATATTCCAACAAGCTCACGAATATGGATGAAATGGACAAATTCCTAGAAAAAATACAATCTTCCAAAACAGAATCAGGAAGAATTAGAACATCTTGATTGGCCTCAATTCTGATGAAATAGAGGCAGCAATCAAAAACCTTCTAGCAAACAAACATCTATACTCCTCAAATTATTTTTAAAAATTCAAGAGGAAAGAACACTTCCAACCTCTTTTTATGATGCCAGCATTATTCTAATTCCAAAACCTGATAAAGATGCCACAAAGAAAGAGAATTACAGGCCAATATCCCTGATGAACATAGATGCTAAAATCCTCAACAAAATATTAGCAAATCAGACCCAGCAATATATTAGATCATACACCATTATCAAGTGGGATTTATTTCAGGAATGCAAGGCTGGTACAATATTTACAAATCAATAAACATGATATATCACATAAACCAATTAAAAGACAAAAATCACATGATCATACCAATAGATGCAGTACCAATAAAAGCATTTGACAAAATCCAACACCCATTTTTGATAAAAACTCAGCAAAGTGTGTATAGATGGATCATACATCAACATAATAAGGGCCATATATGACAAACCTAGAGTAAACATTATATTCAATGGACAAAAACTAAAACCATTTCCCTTGAGAACAGAAACAAGACAGGGATGACTGCTTTTACCACTCTTATTCAACATAGTACTGGAAGTTCTAGCCACAGTGATCAGACAAGAGGAAAAAATAAAAGGCATCCAAATCGGAAAGAAATAAAACTCATTATTCACAGATGACATATACATTGAAAAACAAGGATTTCACAAAAAAACTAGATTTAATAAATTTATTTAGCAATGTAGCATAAATAATGAACACTCAAAATTTGACATTTTTATCCTATCCTAATAATAAAAAGCCCAGGGTTGTAACTTGTAATGAAGATCACGATCAAAGGCTGACCACCCGGAAGTCAGTGCTGGGTTGCCATAGCGACCTTCACAGCCATTGCCATATGCTGTGGACTGATTGGCTGCCCCAAGCCCATAGGAGACTGGCAAGCTGCAGCAGGTGGAAAGTAGTGAGCCCAGGTCCAGCCGCCCTGCAATCACAGGGCAAAGAACCCAGGCCAAGCCGCTCCCTGGTCACAGGGCGAAGAGCCCAGTCAGAGCCACCCCTTGATCATGGGGTGAACAGTCCTGGCTGAGCCTCCCAACCATCCAGGGACAAACAGGCCAGGCTGAGTCTCCCTGCGATCACAAGGCGAACAGGCCAGGCTGAACCTGGCCAAGCTGCCCTGTAATCCCAGGAAGAAGCTGCTCCACTCACCAACCTGTGCTAGGGATCTGTTCCGGGCTCATGGCGTGGAGTCCAGGACCTCTAACCTACAGCCACGGGAAGTCTCTTTCCCCAGAGTTAGGAGCACCAGCCCAGGTCTACCCAGCAGCCTGGTCCTGACTGAGGGTGAGTTCCTGCAGGCTGGGGTCTCCTGCATTAGCAGTAGGAGACCAGTGCCTTTGTTATTGCTGTGTGTTTAGGTTTTAATTGGACAAATGTCTGGCAGTCCTGGGTGCCAGCTTAGCAAAATCTTTTAGGAGGATAATTCTATCTGGGTTGCCTCAAATTCCCTCAGCCCCTACTCACCCTCTGTAAAGGCCCAAAACAAGTGAGGCCCTTTAAATAAAAATCAGAATTCTCCAGCAACATTGGTCCTCTCTTATCACAGTCATTTGGACTGGATGGCATTTGAGTATTTATCTAGGCACCATGATAGAGAAACACAGCTCAAGTCATGATCTCTGCTCTTAAAAAATTCACAATCTTATTAGAGCAAGTGGATGATAAAAGCACAGTAATGACATCAAAATGTAAGGCAACAATACAGAGAGGAACAGAGGCAATTGCTAGGATGATTTTCCAATAATTAGTACAAAGAGTATGTGCTGTGAATCAAATAAAAAATACATGTGGAAGTAGCTGCTTCCCTTCCTATTTTAAAGAAAGCTGGGTTCTATGTGAACTGTGTACTATGCTATGATATCTGAGGCACAGGACAAGGGAGGCCCTAAGTGTACTATGCTTTGATATTTGAGTCATTCTTTATTGTTCAATGTGATTTATTTCTGTGTGCCTCAATTTTGTAATAGTTAAATTACTAGAATAATACATCTTGCTATAAAATATGACTAGAAGATCAAATGATCAGGTGACATTTATTGTCATTTTCTATAAATGAACACAATTTCTGATATGCTAAAGTGATAGGTATAATAGAAATAGTCAGATAGGGAGACCTACAGGCTTGCTTACAAGTGAGGCTTCCTTTCACAACCCAAACTCATTGTTTAAAAACATCAGGGAGCCAACTAGAAACTGAATGAAATATAAGCCCTTGAAGGGCAAATATAAATTGGTAAGTTTTGCTATTACAAGAGCAAGAAGAAAAAATTCAGATGCAAGAACGAAAACCACATTACATCCACTTTAAGTAGCTGTTAAAGAAAAAGAATGATATACTATGAAAAAACTTAATACAGATTGTGAAGATATTTGTTCAAAGAGGATTTCCTAGAATAAGTTAAGAATAATAAGATATTTCAGTTAACTTTTTTAAATATGAAGAGGTTAACTGGATAAGAAAAGGTGTGTAGGGATCCAAAATTGCAGAGGGTGCAGGCGGGGCTGAGGGACTCCCCTTTGTGCACAAATTTCATGCACCAGGCCTCTAGTATAATAAATAAAAGTCTAATATGCAAATAGACCAAATGGGGGAATGACAGGTTGCTATAATGTGCACTGACCACCAGGGGACAGTACTCAATGCAGGATCTGCCCCCAGCCTGCAGGCCCCAGGTCAGTCAAGGTGGGTGCCAGTCACCCTGTAGAGGGAGAAAACCAGCAGCAGTGGAGGGGGGGAATCAAGGGGCAGGCTTGGCCAGAGAGCGGATGGCCTCCCACAGTAGGAGGCAACCAGTGGCAGTAGCAGGGGATGGAGCCAGCAAGCCAGTGGCACAAGGCTGGCCAAGGTGGGTGCCAGCAGGGCCCCCCAATCACCCCATGAGTCACCCCACAGATAAATCCTGATCGCCAGCCAGGCCTATGGACCTTACCCATGCATGAATTTCATTCACCAGACCTCTGGTACACTAATAATGAATTTTCTGAAAGAAAAAAACAAAAAAGCAACTAAACAAACAATCCCCTTTACCATTGCAATAAAAAATTAAGATACTTAGGAATAAAATTAACCAAGGAGTTAAAAGACTTGTATTCAGAAAAGTACAGCATGTTGGAAAAATATGTAGAGGAAGATATAGTGTGTTCATGGATTAGTAAAATTAACATTATTAAAATGTGCATAATACCCAAGGCAATCTGCAGATTCAATGCAATCCCTATTAAAATGTCAATGGCCTATTTCACAGCCTAGAATAAGTGCTCTAAAAATTTATATGGAACCATAAAAGACCCCAAATAGCCATAAGGACGAAGTTGGGGGGATCACTATACCAGTACTTCTGATAACCTTAAAATAGTTGTTAATACTTCTGCATAATAATAATAGCCATCATGTTTTGAGTACTCAGTAATTAAAGAATTTGTCAAATGTTTTATGTTCTTAATATGATCTAATGACTCTGAAAAAGTCCTTTCAGATAAGTACTATTATTATTTCCAAATGACATCTATGAAATGGAAATAATAGTGACCTTGCCAAAAAGTTTATGAGAAACACATCCCAGAGAATTATAAATAAATTTTAACATATGAAGTATCTGCAAATATAATACTATGGCTAATGATCATCAGTGTACCAACAGGAAAACCAGAGTAAATAAAAAAAGGATTGCAACATTATTCTTTTATTGTTGACCTATACTTACTGTATGTAGTTTTTGTAAGAAAACTTTTACTTTTAATAATAGTAAATAATACATATTTTAAAACTTGTGAGATTACTCATCAGAATATTTCACATCGTTTTACAAAATCAATTCATATTGCTTTAGGACATAGAAAACATATTTATTACATTATGAGTAAGAACAAGCCAGAATTCAATTAATGTGTTTTTTTTTCCCCTTTTGCAGCAACAGTCCTGGGCCTATCAATAGCATGTTTGAAATTCACATTCTAGACCACCTTTTGGGTGCAATTTGATCACCCAGGATGAATGGGATAAAGAATGATCTTGAAAGCTACATCAGAGACCTAATTTCAAGAGTGTATTGTATGTCTTCCCATAAATGTGCTAAAAGTTTCTGCAGATATAAAAAGGCAGCAAATATGTTAGACATATGCTTTCCCTTAACCAGAAAGCTGCAAGACCAAATGGCCTAGATGACCCAGACCATCTTTCTCCTCAAAAAATATCCCACATTTTATGTAAATAGTACACTATAAGGAAGATCCACATAAATTTGATAAAGTTATATAATTGGGGAGGTACATGGATACAGGTGTCACTGAAGACACAAATACTATATTGCAACTTGATTATATCTAGTTTTACTGAATCATTGTCACTTATTTCTAGATGTGTGTTTCTTTTGTTTTTTGTTTGTTTGTTTTGGTAGATTTGATATTTAGAGTTCCCTTTATTCACCATTCACTAAGATATCATAATTTGAGAGAGCTGTTTGCCTTCCCACTTGACTATTGATAAGAAAATTGATGTGTTTGGTTTTGCATCTCATAATCCCTTGAATGAAATAATAACTAATACATAATTTTTTCCTTAGAATCTTGTTACAGACCAGCAAATATTTTGTTGTTGTTTGTTTTCCATTTCCTCCTCTCTATTAGAAATTTGAAAAGGATATTGATAATAAGGGGAGAAATGTTTATGTTTCATGTTTCCTATAAATGTTCTTATGCTTAGTATGTTTTATAATTAAATGTTCAGTTTTGACCCTGAAAATGGTAATCAATTTTTATTTATTTAATAAATATGTGTTTCCACTTTTAGTAGTACTATGTAGGGAATTTAATGTTGTGAGATTTTTATTTTTGAGAAATTTAAAATTTACTTTAAGAGCCTAATTTTCATGTTAAATTATAAAACTTTCCTTTGAGGGTGCCTTAAAAGAATTTTTGGATGTTTGAAAAACTTTATAAAGAAACTAGAAATTTCCAACTAAGATTCTATGCATATTATTACAAACTAGTGGCTCAGTACATGAAATTCTTGCACAGAGCAGGGGGGCAGGCGGGGGTGTCCCTCAGCCCGGCCTGCACCCTCTCTAATCTGGGACCACTGGCTCCTAACGGCTCACCTGCCTGCCTGCCTGATCACCCCTAACCACTCTGCCTGCCACCATGCTTGCTTCCAACTGCCCCCACCCCCATCGCCTTGCTCACCCTCAACTGCCCCCCTCCCCACTCCAACCCCCATCAGCCTCATGGCCCCCAACTGCCCTCCCTGACTGGTCTCCCAGAAGGTCTCTTGGTCTAAATTAGCATAATACCCTTTTATTAGTATATATATGTGCTGACTTTTCATAATCTTGCCTTTAGGAGTAATTGCTTCGACGTTGTAAGAGAATATGTTGAGGTATTTTGGGCACTGAGATATCTTTCTACATTCACAGCTGGTCTTAATTACTACTGAGACTTTTCTGTGCATCATAGTTTCCTTAGATCCACATGTGGACTGTAAGAGACAGTCTCTGGCTGATAATTCAACAGAGGGCCTATAAAGAACAACCCATAGATCCTGCTACAAGCTAGTCTCAATCCTCTTTTTTCTTATTGTTATATGAGTGAATAGGAGGCTACCAGATCTATTGTTAAAACTTTGGGGTTTTTTTTTTTTTTGTGTGTGTGTGTGGTTTTTTTTTCCCCAAAGCTGGTTTCCATGATCTCAAACTTCACGCAATGTCCACAATTAATTTCTGATACTAAAATTTCATTTCTGATATACTTTTAATTAACTAGTTATTAATAATAGGAAAGAAACAAAAAGGGAGGCCAGATATTTTAAGCATATCACTTCGGTAAATTCACCAGGAAGCTTCAATTGCCCATTCCCTGCAGAATCACTGGGAGAAGCTGTGCAACAAAGGAGAGATCAATGCATGCACAGTGAAGCTGGAGTGAAATAGGGAAGGTACTTGCCTGTTGATCATGCCTTTGGAACCATGGATTTACTAGAATGGGTTCAGCCAAAGCAAGCCTGCAAAAATTTGGGAATACATAATTCCTTAAACAATGGAATTCACTTTCTCTTGGCTCTTGGTTTGTGGGGCTCACTTTCTCATTTTTTTAAAAGATTTTTAATTGATTTTTTTACAGAGAGGAAAGAAGAGGGTTAGAGAGTTAGAAACATTGATGAGAGAGAAACATCAATCAGCTGCTTCCTGCACACCTCCTACTAGGGATGTGCCCACAACCAAGGTACATGCCCTTGACCAGAATCGAACCTGGGACCCTTGAGTCTACAGGCTGACACTCTATCCATTGAGCCAAACTGGTTAGGGCATTGTGGGGCTCTCTTGTACCACTTCCTTGCATTCATCCATATGGCCCACAGTCATGTGGACCTCATACTCAATGGACTAGTGATTTTCAGTAAGAAATACAAATTAAGCTAGCTTGATGCTGGACTGAAGTGTGCAAATATAGAAAGGAAATTCTGGACACTGGCTCTAATTTTAGGCCTACTAAAGGCAAAATGGGACTTCTTCCTTGGTGGCACAAAGAGAAATTAATCTTGGAATCTCAGGGGTATGATTCCACAGAAATAAAACTTTCTACCATATCTTATCCTATCTATATAAAATTCCTTTTCTTGGGATATCATAAGAATTCCAGCCGGAACCAGTTTGGCTCAGTGGATAGAGCGTCGGCCTGTGGACTGAAGGGTCCCAGGTTCGATTCCGTTCAGGGGGATGTACCTTGGTTGTGGGCACATCCCCAGTGGGGGGTGTGCAGGAGGCAGCTGGTCGATGTTTCTCTCTCATTGATGTTTCTAGCTCTCTATCCCCCTCCCTTCCTCTCTGTAAAAAAATCAATGAAATATATTAAAAAAAAAAAAAAAAAAAAAGAACTCCACTCCACAAGCAACAGGTGCAGGTGAGGCCCCGCCTTACCCCTCCCCCCCTTCTCCCGCTCCCCCCCCTCCCACACACACACACAAATACTACTTCCACCAGTAACACTTCTAAGTAATATCTCAATTAAGGATATAAGATTAGTTGGGCCTCAGCCAATAGATAAAGGATTTTTCCATTATAAAATTGAGTTGACTAATGAGATGGTTATAGTATTATTTTCACAGTAAAAAAGAGGATAAGGAGTTTGCTTAGAAAATGTTCCAGCCTGCAAGTTTTACACTGGTGGTATAGTGGTCCCTGTCCTTATCTGTAAAGGCAGTGTGGAAGAAACAAACATTTATTGATATCTTTCTGTGGTCCAGGAAAATCATTACACATTTTCTTGAGGAGATGAATTTAGCCTTATTTATTTCTATATTCTCAATGTCAGCCATTTTGCTGGTTGGATGGATGGATGCACAGGTTCTTAGATGAAGACATAGGTAAATGAGTAGCCAAGAGAAAGGAAGGGCTTGAACTTGTGTATGACTGAAAATAAAAATCATCAGACATAGTCAAGCACTTTGAAGTCAAAAGATAGGGAAGAGTGAAAGTTGATATTTGGCCATCATTGTAGTTTTTATTGATGTATATAATTTTACACCTATTTCTTGCCCATTACCATAGGGCAGAAATGACAGGAATTAGTAATATTTGGAAACAAAATGAATATTCAATGGAGGACACTCAAATGCTGAACAACTCAAATGTCAGTTGTTTATTAATTTGTTCAGTAATTGTTTATTTGACCAGCATTGTTTTGAGTGCTGGAAATACAACTATAGTTTTAGATCACCGAAGGAGGAATGCATGAGGCCAGAGTGGTGAGGAATTACAAATTTATCCGATCATCTGCACACCAGGTGGCTGAGCCTGGATGGCTCCAGCACCCAGTGAGGGGAGTCAGTGGCTTTTAAAGGTCTTTCGGAGGGATTTTTTCTGGGCGGAGACTTCTTTATGAATACCCGGAGGTGAGAGAATGTAATGTGGTCACCACAAGTGAAAAGCAGTCTTCAGCAAAGGAAATGTCTATAGTGAAATCACCTGAAAAGCCAGTTCCTGGGGGAAGGGTATCAACTCAATTGCTCAATCAAATCTAACATATAGAGGGTGTCCCAAAACATGTATACACATTTTAACAATTGATAATTTAATTGATGTTTCCTTATAGTCAAACAAAGGAACTTCTTCCTAAAATGCTATTGGAAGTTTGAAAATGCAGTTGAAATACAAACACTGCCATTAAAATTATTAACATCCCCCCCCCCCAAAAAAAGAAAAGAAAAATGAAAAGAAACATTAGCATCTGATAACTCATTTAATTTTTACTCCTTTTTAGGTTTAACTGATTTGAAATTATGACTGAAGCCAGACTATGCTTTGAACAAAGAATATATATATATATATATAATCTTTATTATTGAAAGTAATATAGATGTACCTCTTAGACCCCCTCTGCTAGACTTTGTTATGGGAATACATAAAGGATAACATTTATGGTACAAAACTGGCAACAGTTGATGAATTGAGGGTGCAGAAATACTGAACAAAATTATTCTTGACTAGAGGCCTGGTGCACGAAATTTGTGCACTGGAGGAGGGTGTCCCTCAGCCCACCCTGCACCCTCTCTAATTTGGGACCCCTCGGGAGAAGACTTACTGCCTGTGGGATTGGGCCTAAACTGGTGGTTGGGCATCCCTCTCACAATTTGGGACTGCTGGCTTTTAATAACTCGCCTGGTTGCCTGCCTGATCACCCCTAACTCTTTTGCCTGCCAACCTGATAGCCCCCTAAACACTCCCTGCTGGCCTGATTGATGCCTAACTGCTTCCCTGCTGGCCCGATTGCCCCCAACTGCCCTCCCCTGCTGGCCATCTTATGATGATGTGGGGACAGCCATCTTGTGATGACATGGGTGCGGCCAACTAGTGATGTGAGAACATAAGGGTCAATTTGCATATTTGTAATTCCATTGCTTTACATTATTCACAGTGCCTGGACTAGAACAGTCATCAGTTTG